ATTATTAAATATTTTATTATTTATTAAAAAAAATAAAAATAAAAATAAATTTATAAAAATAAATAATAATTATATAAAAAAAATTCTATAATTTTTAACTCTTAATCTTTTTGTAATATTCCTTTAATATTAAAATGAGTTTTAATTAATATAAATAAAAAAACTATCAAAGTTTAAATAGATTTTTTACATTAATAATTGAATTATTATTATTTATTTTTTAATATGTAATAAGTTAAATTAAAAATAAATTATACTGTAAATTAAAATAATAAAATTTTATATTACCTAAATGCTTATAAAAATTATTTGTAATAGTATTATTATCAACAATAATTTTATTTTCAATTATAGCTATATTATGATATTAATTATATAAATAAAGCAAATAAATTTAATCATTATATATGAAAACAAAATAATTACTCACATCTTTTACATCATTTAAATAAACATTTGAAAATTTGCTTTTTTATTAGAAAATTTGAATAGATGTTATTAAAATAATAAAATAAAATAGATTAAAAAGATTTAAAATTAAAATAACTTTTTTACTTATATTAATTGTAATCTTTTTTAGTAATATTGGCAGCATTAGATGTGGTGGTAGTAGCATTAGTAGCATTTGGTGGTAGTGATAGTGATATATGTAACAATAGTAGTAGTATTGGTAGCATAGTGACATTAATGAAGGTGATGATATTAGCAATAGCATTAGTAGTGATGGTAATATATTAGAAATAGTATTAGCAACATTAAATATGGTAGTAGCAGCATTAATAGCATTAGTGATGATTGTGATAACATATGTAATAACGGTAGTAGCATTGGTAGTATTGACGGTATTAATGGTAGTGATAACATTAGCAACATTGATGATGATAATAATATATTAGTAGCAACATTGACAGCATTAGACATGATAGTGGCAGCATTAGTAGCATTAGTGGTGGTAGTAATATATGTAGTAGCAGCAGTAATATTGGTAGTATTGACAATATTAATGGTAGTGGTAGTGACGTTACAGCATTAATAGTGATAGTAACATATTAACAGCAGTATTGGCAGCATTAAGCGTAGTGGTAGTAGCATTAGTAGAATTGATAGTGGTGGTGATGACATATACAACAGTGGTAGTAATATTGGTAGTATTGGTATCATTAATAGTGGTAGTAACATTAGTAGTAGCATTGATAGTGGTAATAACATATCAACAGCAGCATTGACAAGTATTAGATATAGTAGTGATAGCATTAGTAGCATTAGTAATAATAAAAGTAATATATATAGCAGCAGCAATAGCATTGGTAGTATTAGCGGCATTAATAGTGATGAAAACATTAACAGTAGCATTGATGATGATAGTAATATATTAGCAGCATCATTGGCAGCATTGGATGTGGTGGTAGTAGCATTAGTAAAATTAGTGATAGTGGTGATGATATATACAATAG